TGGGCGTGGCTGGTGACCCTGTGTCTGTTGATCTACTTCCCGTCCAAGCCCCCGAGCCCGCCGTGTGTGAGCGCCAGTGTGGAGAGAGAGAAGTACTGGTCAGGCCTCTGGTCTCTCAGGAAGTGAGTCACGGTAGCCGTTGTGTGGAGCCACTTTGTCAGTCTGCCTGACCTCACAGCTGTTTTCAATCTGACAACCATGTTTTTCTGGTTTTCTTTAAGGGTTGGGGGGAGGTTGGTTTGTTGGGTTTTTTTATTTTGTTCTGTTTTGTTTTGGGAATGGGAGAGTGTTTTGCTACTCCATACAAGAATGTGAATGTTTGGAGGGTACCACAGGTATGTCCTGCTTTTTTTTATCATATCATTTTAGTTGAGGATTTTTTTACTAAAGGAGTAGAAAGAAGGTAGAATCGACACTTATAAGTAAAATTTATTCATGTAATATATATGTGTGAGCGTAAATGCTTACATGTTATGTATTAACGTTGGAGAAATTGAACCTTGAATCGATATGGCTGTTTATTAATGTCCTTTTCATCATGAGCAATTTTGTCTTCATTATCGACGTCATCTCCATCAAATTCATATTCTTTCACCCTTCATGTTTTTTTTTTGTTTCCTTCTTCTTCAAGTAAGTGTCAGGTCTGTAAAAGATTTCTGCAACCATAGTTTGCTACTCTTTTCTCTGCCTGGATATTTTCCTGGTCTTTTCTCATCACCCATCTGTTTAAGTTTTCTTAGTAAGTTCTTTGTGGGTGGTTGGCAGATGCTCTGGTGTGGTTTGCTACTTCTTTCCTATCAAACATCTATCGTCTTTCTCTCTCCTCCTTCTTTTTCTATTTGTTACTCTCTTGTAACGCCTCTAAACTCTGGCATTATAGTATGACATTATTGATTAGCAAGCACCATAAAACTCTTACTAAAAACTAAAACGAATTTCTTTGTCCCCAGAAACGTTTATTTCATCATCATTTCCTTCATCTACTCCGTGTCCAACGGTGTGTGGAACTGCTGGAACACTGTCCTCAACGTCAACCTCAACTCCCTGGGCGTGTCGGAGGTCAGGGTTGAAATAATGTGGTGTTTGCTGTGTCTCAATGGGTTGGAGTTTCACTCCGTTTTTGAGCATGCTTAAGTCCATATTTTGTTCCTTAGATGCCATCTTACTCAGAGCTGAGGCCACTTCAATCAGTACTAAATTATTAGTATCGTGAAGCCCACGTGGGACGCTCAATGTTAAAAACAATTAGGAAACGACAAATGCAGTTTTTGGGACACCTGAATAGACATAAGGGTCTTGAACATCTAGCTCTCACTGGCAAAATTGAGGGCAAGCGAGGCAGGAGTAGGCCCAGAACAACATACTTAGGGAACCTAAACAAATGGGTAACGGAAAAATCAGGGAAACGTAGCTTTTCTGAGAGCATCCGAGCAAAGGAATGAATGGAAAATCATGATCACCGATGTCTGTCGCAGATCTGGCACTGGATGATGATGATGAGTACCTTTGAATGATGGCATGTAGCTGCCTGTCAGCCAAGAATGATTCTATATTCTATGTACTGTTACATTAAATGGCATAAAAACCAACTACACTTTGAGATAAAGATCTGACAGTCCGTTACTCCCTGATCTCTAGCATGGGTATCAGAAAAAGTTGACAACTTTATGTAACTGAACGCCTTGTGAGTACTGGAGTCTGTGGTGTAAATAAAATAAATAATAATATATAACATTTATATAGGTGCATTTTTTAAAAAAGTAGCTCAATGCGCTTTACATTGGAATAACCCATTTTTCAAAAACCTTTCTTACTATTTCCTTTCTTCTCATGCAATATACATTAATGCACACACACACACATACACACACACACACACACACACACACAAACACACACACACACACACACACACTCACAGAGACTATTTTCATCCAGACATAGGAACAGAACAACTATAATGAAAGATAACATTAAAAGCTTATGTAGCAGTGTAGCAGTTTGCCACTTTGCTGATACAAGCTGGAGATTGCCTGGTGGGGAGAACATTTTGATTGAGTATCTCGGTCTGCTTGGATGTTGTATCCCTCTCAGCCGGGTTGGCCCTGACAGGTAGGGTCGGAAGCCCACCTCCTAAATGATCTAAAGTGTGTCAGTGGGGAAGTATAAACTCCTACATTAAAGGAAGAATGTTTTAAATTTGAACCTTGTGACAAACACTGTTCCTGTCGAAGGGGTCTGAGCATCTCACATTTACTAAGGTACCAGCGGTTTCAGAGATTTAAAAATTCATTTTTGATTCAGACACTATTTTCAAGAATTTTTTTCCAGTTGGAAATACTTTTATACAGAATGCAACAGTCTTAAAACTTTTAATTCTGTGTGGGGAGTGGGGGAGAGATGACTGAAAGGAACAAGGGAAACTTACTGTAGGTGTGTCAAGTTAAGGTTTGGGAGACGGAGGGTTGGTAGCATAACTAACTGGAGGAATTTGGCAGGTAGAGACTGAAATGAAACTTGTATAGGTTTAATGCTCCTCGTAACTCTAAGGTTGTTTAGGGGGCAGGACCTCTGAATATATTGTCCATCATCTATAGGGCCAAGCCAAATGGAAAAAATTTTTGTATAGAACCTAAATTTTTTGGAGTTCAGTTAGCTTAACCTCTTAATTACTGACACCACTAGTTTAGACTGAAAGTCTTTTGTGGGTTTTTTTAAGGAAAACAAATTGAGGCTTAGAGAATAGAAACTTTCTTTCATGTTCGAAAATTGCCCAAATGTAGTGGCTGTTGAAACTCCCAATCCCCTTTCCCTGCTGCTCCCATGTCCCAACTTATTGTCTTTTTAACATTTGTCCTTTTTCTTTTTCTGGCAGACCACGGTGGGCTGGATTGGCTTTTACTCCACTGTGGCAGCCTGTGTGGGCACGCTAGTGGTGGGCAGGTCAGTAGATTGTGTGTGTGCGTGTTCGCGTGTGTTTGTTCGTGAGTGCATGTGTGTGTGCGTTCGTGCATCTGTGTGTTCATATAAAGAATGCATGGGATGCATTTCAGAGAAGGATGTTAAGACTTTATGCTATTGTGTCTTCCCCATGTAGGATTCAAACCCATGTCTAACGCATGCAAGACAATGGCACACATAAATGCAGAAATATGTTAATGCATTAATGCATGAATAATACACAATATCACAAGCACTGACAATCCACACACCATTGCTGGTCGCTACTGGAGCTGGCGTTGTAATGTCTTACTCGAGGACACACCCCAGTGACCACCCACCTAAACTCCATGTCACTGACACAAGCTTCACATTTTGCTACTTTAGAATTTACAAAGTTCTATCTGACGTTTTTGGCTGTTTTGAGTTACTAAGACTATGAGGTCAGAAACCAAATGTTCTATCTGCGCTAGATCTATCAAAATCAGAAGAATATTCAGAGTTGTTATCAAGATATTCAGAGAATTACATTTGGAAATGTTCGTCGTGTTGTGAAACTCAAAATCTTTGACGTCAAATTGCTCAAAACTGGGGACTGAGGAGATACAACTTTGTGATTCCAAAGTAGTTATTTAATGTGAGCCTGAGCTCAGAAACCAGTCTGTGGCTAGATTTTAAGGACACTGGAGTGAACCCCCCCCCCCCCCCCCCCCCAAAAAAAAAAAAAAAACGCAATAGGAACGGTCTCCGCTCATAGTCCATTTTCTTCCTGCAGGTTTGCTGCACACTTCACTCGGAGCATGAAGCTGTTCATCTTTGTGATGTACATTGTGGCGGCTGGCAGCTTCACCGTGGTGGCTCTGATACAGGTCCGGCTCATTCCCTTCTCTCTAGGTGAGTGGCAGGACTAATTTCCCAGGGCATAGTAAAGAATCGGACAAAATTGAGGAGGGGGGGGGGGTTGTTGTTTTATTTGTTTGTTACATTAGTATTTGCCTATACCCATCTTGTAATAAAGGCAGGATGATATGTATCAACATCCAAAATAGTAGTTTTCAAAACTGCACAAGTTACTTACCTTAAAAATAGCATCAATAATTTTTCGCATTTTTCTCAACATTATGAAAAGGCCAGTTACAAAACTGTGCATTTTGACAGCAAGTTACCGACAGGCACTTGTAGTAAGCATGTGGGGGTCATCCTTTTAACATTTGTAGCTATATTATGTTGTTTTTTCTTCCTTTTTCAACGTATAGAAATGATAACATTAACAAAATATTTCTGGAGCTCATGCAACTGATACAACAGAGTAAGAAACTGCTGTGGGAAAAAAAATTCAAATTTTGGGTGTTAGTTATAAATTTTAACAGCTGGCCGATAATGTGTAGTTGGTGAACAGCTTTGTTCTGTTGTTGCATTTTTTTGTTTTGTCCTCTGCCTTTGTAAACGACTTTATACTCACTTTTTGTTTTTTTTACCTCCTGTTCTGCCCCCCCCCCCCTGTGTCCAGTGGGTCTGTACGTGACCATCATCGGAGGAGGCTGGCTGCTGGCCGGGGCCGTGCCTCTCCTCTATGAGCTGGCCTGTGAGATGGCCTTCCCCACGGGAGAGAGCGCGGCCAACGGCATCCTCTGCTACCTCAACAACGTCGCGGGGCTCGTCTTTCTCGCCATCTTTTCCATTCCTCACATCGGTAAGTCTGAAGTGTAAAAATCACAAAATTGTGTAAAATTGACACCTCAAAGGCTGCACAACACAAAATAAATTGATAAATTAAATGAATGAATGAATGAATGAATGAATAACTAAATGAATGAATAGATAAATAAATAAAATGATATCGAAGCTCTCTGATTTTTTTCACCCGTTGAAGATCCCTATTCTGACTTTCACGAAACCCAATTTTTATCTTGAACTGCATTTCCATCAGTAGTATGCAATGTGGTGTAGAAAACATGGAAATACATTGGTTTATTATTAATATTTGTGCAGCTTATCATAAATAATGCTAAAATACCCTTTCTCTATCAAAATTGTAAGATTATTCAGTGTTTATCAAGATATTCAAAGAATTACATTAAAAAAAAGCTTAACATGATATGAAACTCCAAATCTTTAACCCTGTCCATACGTCATGTTTTACTATCGTATCCCTACGATGTGGGGAACTCTGTGCCACCACTTTCCAAAGAGGTAGTTACTCGTTAATCCGATCCTACGCTTTGCATAGCAGTCTGTATAAATGATTTTTTGAGAAATACTACAAGTTTCAAAGAGATCTTTGCACTAGAAGTATTATAAAATGTGAAGAATACAACCTTGGGGGGTACAAAATGACCCCAGGGCGTACGGATAGGGTTAATGGGAAATTTCTCAAAACTAGGTGCTGAGCAGGGGCGAAGGCTGACTTGTTTGACAGGGTAATCAAAGTGAGATGGGACCAGATACGCCAGATAGGGCCTGGAGATATCACACAAGAATCTTACTCGAGGCGGCAACACTGAATTATGAATGAAAACAAATCCTGAATTCATGTTGTATGCATGTTCAACTGCTAAAATAATCGGGAAAGTATCTCTTTAAATATTTATTCCAACAAGCATTATATTCATCTTTAGATGTGGATGCACAAACACAAAGCAAAGAAGCAGAGATGTCAGTACCACAGTATGTAGTAATACCAGTGAGACTAAGCTCTTTGGTAGAACATGACAATTAATTTTTTTAAAATTTCACATTTGGCCGTTTTTTGTCTAGCGTTTCGCGGCCTGGAGCCGGTGTCATAATCGAGGTCACGATCTGATTATAGGACGGTAAAAAGTCGAGGATAAAAAACTAGCTCTCGCAGCAGTCAAGATACTAATAGGAGTTAGTTCCCCTCACATCTGTTAGGTAGACTCGACCAGTGCAATAGTTCGCTTACATAATCAGAGTTTCTGACTGCTTATAACTGTGGCACGAAAGGGATGAACAGGGTATATGTGGCAATGAAACAGTTTTGACTGTTGCACACATGTTCCCTTCAACTCTTTTGGTAGACTCTTCCAGCCTAACTGTAAGCTTACTTAATCGAAGCTTGCGACTGCTTATGGAGTGGCACGATAGGGGTGAACAGGCTATTTCTGTGGCAATGAAACCGTTTTGAATGTAAGGCATACTGTTCATTGGTGATTATGAGCATCTTTTTACATTTAATTTATGAGGTTTACATCTATGGGGGGGAATTTGACAGCGGCAATGTTTCAAAATTAGGAAGGGAAGCAGTGATTATTTGATTATATAGACGCTTCGCCACTGGTGCTGAGAAGATGTTGTTGTTATTGTTGTTGTTGTTGTTAGCAATCCAGTAGCATCTGAGCGTTAACTCTCCTGCATGATGCCATTCAGTAATAGCTGCATGTCTGTTCTAATTGTTGTCTTGAGGAGTAGAGGCAATTAGATGTGTGGGGTAGCTTGGGAAGAAAACATCCCCTTAAATCAGTTAGTTTTCTACGGAAGAGAAGATAAAATTTTGTAAGTATTCTAGGGTAGTGACTTGTAGGAGGAAAAGAGTTTAACTTATATGGGAACAGAAACAAAAATGTAAATTTATAGAAACCCTCCCGTCTCATAAAGGGTATTATTTTGTAGCTTTTTATAGGATTTTTAGGGCCCTGAACACGATTTTGGCATTGAAAAACGTCGCAAATTGTTAGTTTAGATGTTACGGCACTTTATTTCAGGGGGGTAGACCCCCCTGAACCCCCCTCTACCCGACCTACTACACTGCTATAGCGTACTCGCACATCAGGGGGAGACCCCCTGAAACCCCCCATAATGTCTTTAAAATAAAAGCATGCATTATCAAAGAAAAATCCTAAAACTAAACCTTAACTAAAAAAAACTGACCTTACTCGTATATCCGACAGCACTAAAGTGGTGAAGGAGCTGACTTCCGGTAGTGGATGTGACGCGAAACGGGAGTGCTTCTATAAATATACCCAAAAATGTGTTGTCTGCTGTTCCCAGGCACGTCGTGGATGAACTGGGCTATGATTGGCTCCATTGTCGTGTGCATCCCCATGATTGGTCTACTGCGGAGTCGCTTCAATCGCCTGGAGATGGACGAGGGAGTGGACACTAACCGCTACGTGGAGCAGAGCATCAACGTTACAGGGGACAGTGGACAGATGGGCTCAGATTCCTCTCTTTTGACGTAGCCTGATGTGTGCGACAATGTACGATGGGTGACAATCTGAGGAAAGCAGAGGACAAAAATAGATGGCGAGAGCTGGTTTTCAGATGCAGTGGTGCCCCCACTGTTGCCCGAACCACAGGATAGAAGGAGAAGAAGAAGAAGATGATGATGTGTTCATTACTGCTGGGATATTACTGTGGAAGCTGTCTAAGACTGCCATCTGATGTAGTTGAGGAAAGTGGCTGTCTTACACAGGGTCATTATCATGTAAAAAAATGCAAGGGGAGCTGGAGAATGGGATGAGGCTGTTTGTACAGATGATTGTCTTTTATAGGTGGCCTTTTGTACAGGTGATTGTCTTATACAGGTGGCCTTTTGTACAGGTGATTCTCTTTTATAGATGGTCATTTGTACGGGTGATTGTCTTATACAGGTGGCCATTTGTACAGGTGATTGTCTTATACAGGTGGCCTTTTGTACAGGAGATTTTTCTATACAGGTGGCTGTTTGTACCAGTGATTGTCTTATACAGGTGGCCTTTTGTACAGGTGATTGTCTTATACAGGTGGTCATTTGAAGGTGATTCTCCTATACAGGTGGTCGTTTGAATGTGATTCTCCTATACAGGTGGCCTTTTGTACAGGTGATTGTCTTATACAGGTGGTCATTTGAAGGTGATTCTCCTATACAGGTGGTCGTTTGAAGGTGATTCTCCTATACAGGTGGTCATTTGAAGGTGATTCTCCTATACAGGTGGTCGTTTGAATGTGATTCTCCTATACAGGTGGCCTTTTGTACAGGTGATTGTCTTATACAGGTGGTCGTTTGAAGGTGATTCTCCTATACAGGTGGCCTTTTGTACAGGTGATTGTCTTATACAGGTGGTCATTTGAAGGTGATTCTCCTATACAGGTGGTCATTTGAAGGTGATTCTCCTATACAGGTGGTCGTTTGAAGGTGATTCTCCTATACAGGTGGTCATTTGAAGGTGATTCTCCTATACAGGTGGCTGTTAGAGCAGGTTCCTTTGTACTTTGTGCTTCTCATCTGTATTTTGTCACTCCCTGCCGTAGCGTACTATCACCACTGTGCTATTGTTTGAGATGAACATTGACTTCCCACCTCTTTACTCATTGAGGATGGGCATCAACTGACAACACTTGGTGCTCTAAAAAAAAAAAAAGAGGATAGTTTCTATATTTTTGTACAGATTTTTCCAAAATGGAAAACTTCTTTTTTTTTCTCCAGTCTCAACTCGTAAAAGACAACAACAGCATGTATACCATGTTTCAAGTTACTAATCTGTGTATGGTGGTTGGAAATATGCCGCAACATTTCCTTTGACCTACTTCTGATTGAATACATGTGTCCCCTACATCCTTTAAGAGCTAAATAATGTTTAATAATTATATGGGTTTAACTCCCCCTTTCTACACTGTTTGGTTTTTAAAATGTGGAACCTGGGAATATAACGTCCATCTCCGACAGGACCAGGCCAAATGGGATGAGAGCATTGAAAGTTCCTTAAATTGACCTGAGTTCAAGAACGCTGTGTTGAGAATTTGAATCAAGGCCGCCCTCTCCTTTGTCCAGCATGGTACCAACTAAGCTAACAGACCAGCCATCTTATGACCTTATGCAGTTGCGAAGTTGCGAGCGCCGTAAAACCTCTACTTAAACAAACAAGACCAGCCATCCCCTAGAGTGGGGAAATAAAACAGAAGATTTATATACACATGTACATATGATGTGTTTGGATTTACACTGATATACATGTATTTTGATATAAAGTTTTTAAATCGCAGTACCATACTTTTTTACATTCCATATTTGATTTTTTAAATTCCACCTTTAATTATCGCACCATTTTATGAGGGCTAATAACTTTCATAACGATTCCCAGTCAGGTACTTATGATGATTATATCTCTCTGATTTAATAGAAGGTTGTGAAAGCAAAACAACGACATTGAAAGTTTGCTTTATTTTTCCAGTGCTACAGCGTGTATACCGAGGAATATTAATGTACCTTTTTGGGTTTATGTGTGTATATTGATGGCTGGATGTAACTTCTGACAATTGCCGTTTTGGGATTTGGTATTTGTCAAAGAATTTCACCCAGCCATAGATATTGCAATTGTGATTTAATAATCACGTGATTTGGTTATGAGTTTGTCTTACTCCTGACTAGCGACTGTGGTGTAGCAGTTATGTGCCTGGCTGGTACATGTGGAATAGCTTGTTCCCTGTGTGGGGAGTATTTGTGTCACGAGCGGTGGAATCGGGCGCTCGTCAATTTGGGGACATTTGGACTTATTGGTATAATCTTAAAGCCTGTTCATTGTTCTTTGCTTTTGATGAAGAAAAAACCCATTTATCTTGAATGGAATTTGACATTTTTTAAATTGAATGGGTGGGGTCTCCTGGTGTTAGAGGTAAAAGTGGTGAGAAAATGGTCCCCAAAGTTTGGTGACATCTAAAGCTGTAGTGCCTTTGAAAACTACAAATTTACTTTTTTTTTAGCCTTTGCTCAATATTTTTCTCTGAAATCCAGAAAGAAATGTTTTTAAATGGACTTTCGAGGTGTTGAGCCAAAAACAAAACATTCGTTTAAAAAATTTTTTTAATTGCCTTACTGGGTTTCATTATTTTGACGAGCGCCTGATTTCCCCACAATGCCTCACATTTGTATCAACTATCTCTGTCTTTCTGCTGGGATGTTGTATCCCTCCCAGCTCATGTTGGCTGTGACTGGTGGGGTTGAAGCCTGCCTTCTAAATGATTTAAATTTTGTCAATGTTTACATAAAAGCACCAGAAATAAATTGTTCATAATTACAGCTATTTCTAGACAAGAGGGACCAGCTGATTTACTCATTTCCATATATATAACAGTACAGTGGCAGGGACGAGTGACCTGCTTGTTTCATGTTACTGATCCAACTAAAGTGTTGCAAAAGTGACCCCCTTATTTCAGTTTGTATCTACCAGTGAACTTATTTGTGATAGGCGACCACTGATTTAACATTTTAAGTGAACTTAATTAGCTGATTGGTTCCCCATTAAATTTACATAATTTCTATACTTAAACGTAGTTGTGACAGGTTTCCAATAATTTTTACACTTTATTTGCCACTAATTTTACATTGTATGTTTAAGTATATTTGTGAGTTTCCGACTAATTTTACATTACATTTATAAGTAAACTTAATTGTAGTGAGTTCCCGACTAAATTTACATTATATTAAATTATAAGTAAACTTATTTATGTTTAGTTTCCCATTAATTTTAGATTATATATATATGTTAACTTGGTTGTGTTGGGTTTCGTACTGATTTTACACCATATGTATAAGTTAACTTAATTGTGGTTGGTTCCCACTCTTTTACATAATATAGACGTAAACTTAATTGTGGTTGATTTTTCCATTAATTTCGCAATATACAAGTGAACAAATTTGTTGTCAGTTTCCAACTGATTTTACACTGTATGTATAAGTAATCATGGTTGTTTCCCATTAATTTTGCAATATTATATAAGAATATAAACTTAATTCTTGTGGGTTTCCTACTGATATTTCGATACTGCAGAACTTAATTGTGATGGAAACCCACTATATGTAATTTTACATTCATTATTATTAAACTAAATGATGATGGATGACTCATTAATCATACATTATAACTGAATTCATTTTGTGAGGGATGATCCATGTATTTTACTTTATTACTTAGCTTGATTGTAATGGGTGACCCTCCCACTTAATTTACTTTTCTATTTTTTTTTTTTTTTGGCACAAATTATATACTGTATCTCTTCACAATGTCAAATAAGACTGAAAATAGGTATTTAAATGTTTTAGAGTTTACAGCATGATATATTTAAGGTCTTTTAAAATACAGTCAAAATTTCCTAGACAGCCGTCCGTTGTCAAGGAGAAAAATGGTCGTCCTTTACAGATGGATGGCGTGGACAGTGTCATTAAGATATTATTATTAACTGATTTATCCCGTAGTCCGCTCACAGTTGCTGAGTGTCTCTTGTATTTTGACCCAGAGTCGCGGCTCTTATCTATTGCTCCCTTTTCTGCGCATCACTTTCCTCTCGTCTTTTTTCTTGATTGCTTACATTTCAACCCTTCTTTTCTCGTTTCATTGAAGAGTATTTTGTATTCTGAACATTTCTGTATGCCACACATAAGGTTTTGTCAATTTTAGGTATTTTCTTTATTAATTTTTTGTGAGACCGCCCCTGAGGTCACGAAGCGGTCACACATTATTTGTGTCCAGAGTCAAAATTAACTGCGGGCTGAATCAGTTAAAAAACACAAAGGGAAAGTGGTCGTTTGTACGGGTGGATGTCTTGGACTTGGATATATATGCGGCCGTTAGAATGGGTTTGAGTTCAATATTCGACTTAATCTACTGCTAATGAATTGTATTTGTGTGTTTGTGAGGCATCTTTTTGTTTGAACTGTGCGCTTTTCAAATTCTCAAATGTGTGTGACTTTGTGACTTGTTCAAGGGCTTAGTTTGTCACACCCGGTGGTTTTACACTTGTTGGTTTATTGAGCTGTGCTGAGTTTGGTTGTATTCGGAGAGTGCTGGATTTTTAACTTCATAAACACCTGATTAAAGGTTATATTTCTTGTTTTAGAAGACTTTATTATTATGCGTAATAGCGGTGGGCGAGTACTCGAGTGCTTGCATGAGTGGTTATTAATGACTCGAGTAGAGCTACTTCTTGTTGCCCACCTCGGGGTGTCTTTTGTAAGAACAACAGTTTTGTCATTGTCATCATCTTTGTTTGTTGTTGGACTTAATTGTGAGGCAGCGTGGTGGAATCAGGCTCTTGTCAAAATAATCAAAATGAAGAAACTTGCATTTTTCCGCAGGTTTGTGAATTTCTATCGAATTTTTGTTTTTTGGCTCAACACCTTTCATGCCCATTAAAGAACTCATTTCTGTGAGAATTTTCTGAAAAACGTTGATTAAAGGCACAAAAAATGTAAATTTTCAGTTACCACGGATTCTTAAGCTAAGGAAATAACTAATCTTTCACGGCCATTTTCTCACTAATTTTACCTCTGAAAACAGGTGACCCCCACCTCCCTTTTTCGTAAATATCTCGACTTGTTTTCAAGATAATTGGATTTTTTTTTCCATCCAAATAAAGACAAGTGAACAAGCTTTAAGATGACACCAATAAGTCTAATGCCCAAAAATTGACGAGAGCCTGATTCCAAATCCATGCGTCATGTTTTTCTATCGTATCCATACGACATGGGGAACTCTGTGCCACCACTCGTTAATCCGATCTGTACGCTTTGCATAACAGTCTGTCAAAATGATTCTTGGAAAAATACTGAAAATTTAAAATAGATCTTCGTACTAGAAGTATTCTAAAATGTGTAGAATACAACCCCAGGGGTACAAAATGACCCCAGGGCGTGCGGATAGCGTTAAGGAATTTTCACATTTTTGTTTTTTGTTGTAACCATTATTATGTATTTTTTTACTTTTATATTATTTATTGTTTCTATTTATTAATGGCCTACATGTATTGCTGATAAAATATTTCATGTGTTTGTGCTGCTCAAGACTCAAGACAGTCTTATTACTGATTTTGTTAGCAACACGGAGGCCAATTTGGCAATCAAGGAATGTTATATTCGCTCTTAGGGCATTCGATGGATTTGTCCAGCGGACTGACGTCATTGCTGTACGCGCCGTGTTCGTTTGTCCTCGTACGAAGTTCCGCGACGTGACGGCTTGACGGGAAACAATTTAAAGTTACGAGCCGGTGCGATAAACAAAGGTGAAGGAATGAGGCTCTGTCGCGACAAAACAGCAGTGAATCCCACTTGTCTATTTGAACGCCTTCAAATCGGTAAGGTGCTTTTTGAATGTTGATACATTTTTATTCGGATTTACATGTACTTAAAACTGAATGAAAATCATTATCAGCAATAAATCTCTTGTCAACAGTCCAGCTGACAAAAATTTGACCGGCACTGCCGGTCTTGCCCAGTTAACAAACCGGCCCTGCTCATTTCTCAAAACATCACTGTTGCAAACCTATTCAATTTTGGGCAAATCTAAACATAACACTTGCGAATCTTATTTCTCAAATCATCTCAGTTACAAACCAATTCAATTTTAGGCAAATCTAAACATAACACTTG